ATTAGTACAATAAGTGTTTAATCACTTCCTCTGAAGCCTTCTGGACTTTTTTTTAAACTAACCATTTCTGGGAGCATTCTGGCCTTCCACACCTTCACCAGAATGGTCTTTTAATCTGTTTATAGCATCCTAAGACTTCTCTAGCATTCCACTGTAACTTTTAGACTTTCCTCTCATAATTCATTTTTCAAATCCTATGAACCACATAGTCATGCTTATCACTTCAATGACATCAATTCTAAGCACTAATTGTCTATAACAGTTAATTTTTTTGTCACTGTGACCAAATACATGACATAAGAAATTTCATGGTGAAGTTTCTTTGGGCTCATAGTTTAAGGGCATTTAGGTAGCTTTTTGGGAAGGCATGGGACCAGGAATTTAGTCCATTGCTGCAGGAGCTTGTGGTGCAAGTCTTTCTATCCCAGTGGATCAGGAAGCAGGGAGGAACCTAGCCTTGAACAAGACCATGTTAAATTCCTACTCCACCTTCCTAAGTTTCCTCCATCTCCAAAAATTGCATCAAACAGCTGGAGACATAATATCCAAACAATAAGGATACATATTGCAAGAACAAAATTAAAATAATTTTTGCACAAAATACTCTCTGGCCAGGAAAATATAAAAGTACTTACTTTAACTACTTGTACAAAAATTACTCCACAAGATATTATAATAAATATGTTCTAAATTCTGAACAAATCAAAGCTAACCATTTTCTGACATCTGCCTCAGCAAATACTTGAACAGCCAAAAGAATAGTTTTTGAAAAATCACATTAACCATATGATGAAAGGGTGCTCATAACTGGCATTACTTCAATTCTCTTTTACTATAAGTTCCTGAATCTCTTGGTGCTTTCTACCAGAATGCTAGATGCTGAACTAATTGTCACATGCATTTCACCTCTGGTGAAAAACTAAAAGCATAAATTGCAGGTTTAATGTGGATATTAACCTGGAATATGCTCAGAAAGAATATGATGTCATAAAAAGTGAAATGAGAGACTAAACTGCATCAGAGAAAGTGCCAACCCTACTCCTCTGTACAACATGGAATTTGTATGGAAGAGTGAAGCAGGGCAGGGCAACTGCTCATAGAGAAGACAGAAGGTAAAGCCTTGTTTTAACTTTTAAGAGAAATGAGAACCTACTATACTATTTTGTGTTAAATAAATATCATAATTAATTCAACAGACCTTTAAAGAATGAAACAGACATCTAAGTCTCTATTGGATGAACTACTTGACTAGGAAATATGGGAAGGAAAATTGAAACAATGTAATATGCTTTGTGGCACACACCTTTTATCCCAACTGTTCAGAATGTTGAAGCAGGATATGTCAAACCTTGCCCTGTCTACTAGACACCTTGGAAATTAAAACATCTTACCCCATTATACTATATGTGATTGAGATACAGCTTAGTGGTAGAGAACACATATTTTAAGAAGTTGGGTTGATCTCTCAGTACAACTGACCATTCTAAGCAATATCAATATCTGGTGCTTGCAAATGAAAAAAAAATTAGGGCAGTTACCAAACTTTCTCCCAAAAGATCATGGATCAGAATTATTGTAAAAGAATTAAGATAGATACAAGACAGAGTCAACTGTTAAACCTAAAGAAAAATCCATCTAGAATTTAATGTACCAGGTTTTGAGAGATCGTCAAATGGAAATGAATCTAAATTTTACTATAGAAATTGGCTTAGAGAGAAGATAAAAGCAGCATGGAGTTAGTTTAGAAGCTAATGTACACGAAGCATGGCCAATGATATCTAGACACACTGTTGGAATGGACCTCAGCATGGAGTTAGTTTAGAAGCTAATGTACACGAAGCATGGCCAATGATATCTTTCACTAGACACACTGTTGGAATGAACCTCAGTCCAAGAATGGATCCTGAGAAAAAGTCAAATCCATGCTAGGACATGCAAAAAAAAAATATCAGTGTTCGGCATATTTGAGAATCACAGCAACAGAGTGAAAGTATATATGATAATATATCTTTAATAATAAATTAAAACTCTCCCTATCTATTACATTCATTTCTGAATAGAGTGTTCTGATGGGATCAGCAGCTTGTTTGATTTCAGTATCTGTTTCTACCAGAGTGTTCTCCCAGAAAAGTTTTAGATAATAAAGCTGCAACAAATGTGCTTTGTTAAAGTACTTTGTTGAAAATCAAGTTTATTTGCAAATCAATTAATTCAAAAATTAACTTCTAAGTCTATGCTTTAGAGAATAAAATGTTAAATATGAATTATAAGGTACCATAAAAAGTTTTAAAACATTAAAATTCAGTAAAGATGTACTTTAACATTTTCTCCAGTGTTCCTTAATTAATACAATTTCTTAAGCATGTTAAGGTCCACGCTTTTCATTTTTCTACAATACTACTTTAAGTGTTAAGTTTTAAGAGGCAACACTCCTGTAGGAACTACATAAGGAGCATTTGTAGGAATTTTTGATCAACAAAAGTCTCATAATTCACCATTTCCACATCTTTTACATCTTTCAAGTATCATGAGTTTCTGAAACTAGTAGTAGGGGAGTAATCATGTTTTTTTTTTTTTTTTTTTTTTTTTTTTTTTTTTTTTTTTTTGTATGGGAGATCAAGATGCAGACCCAAAGTCATACTTGGAAAAGCTATGAAATCTCACCGAACTCCATACTAGCTAGCTGCCCATACGTTCTATAAGATATTATTCAGCTTTCCAAAACCTCAATTTCCATATGTAAAAAAACAGCAGTACCATGCAGTTACACAAAAAACAATTTAACATGATCAATAAAATCATAATATCTGTATTTGTGATACATTCATGCTTTTATAGCATAGAACTAAGCAAATCCACAAATAAACGTGGTATTTAGATTCCTAGGTCTGTTTTAACCATTTACTTTTATACAACACTCTTACATTCTCAGTTAAAAATTTATCTATTATAAAGAAGAAAAGACCTATCTCTTCTACTAAACTGGAGATGAATTGTATATGCAAACATGAAATCTGTAATATCTATAATGACTCGAAAACCACAACAGTTCCCACCACAAGCAAATTTCATCTGTCTTGGTTGATTTATTTATTTTTTTTTTGCACAGAACCTTTTGAAATACATTTTTAAAAGTGTTTTCTAAAAAGGAAGTGTTCTTTTTTTGTAAAAGTTCAGATAAAAGGCACCTAAAAATAAGGGTTGAAAAATTGCAAAAATAATCTCTAGAAAATTCAATGTTGACATGTATTCAACCAGACTTCCATCAGTTCATTATTTTAACTTATATGGTATGACAAAGATTTCAAGTCATTACACATGCAGGGAATATTCAAACTTCATTATCAACTCACAAATTGTCAGGGTAAATGAAGAGCACATAATATTCAATGGCAGCTGTGCTAGGACAAGTTGCTAAAATGTACATCTTGCAATCATGAGAGGTCAGCCAACCTTGCTTACATTTCTGTCCACACTATCATTTAATTACTTCTTCAAATTTAAACACTTTTTAAAATCAAAAGTGACTATGTAATTACATGACTTAAACCAAACTTCATAAAAATTATTTACTCTAAATAAAATAGAGTGCTTTTCTTTTCTTCAGTTCAAAATTAATATGCTATTTACCATCTCATAAATGGTCTAACAAAAGTAATCTCCATTTGGATAGATATTTTTGGTTTCATACATCAATCATAGTAAGTTACAAAGGCATATTTACAATTTTTATGATGTGTAATTCTTTTATTTTCCTTGGATTTATAAAATAAAGTTTTATTTGACAGTTATCAAAAAAGTTACCAATAATTTTAGGAAATGTGAAATTTAGAGAAAAGAGTGTTGAAGTACGCATGGGGATAGTCTTGCGTGGCAATCAAATATCCTGGTTATTTGACCATTCTTTATGCTATTTCTGGTGACAAATACCTTTGTATTAGATGGGGTAATCAAAATGTGGCAAGAATCTGGTTTCTTGTTTCAAATTTAATTCCTGCCTGAACCCATGTGTGAAATATGCTTGAAACACCATTCTTTGTTGCTGGCTTTCTAACTCACCATTTTTCATCAGCAAATTATATTTATTCCACCCTAAATTTTTCTTTCTGAGTGTATACATTATTTTTATTTATGTTTTATGAGGGCACCATTTTCTGTACATGAGAAAATAACTGATAACATTTTAAAATTTTCATGCAAGGCAATCCTGGCATATATAAATCCATTCTATGCTCATGCGGAAATGGGGAACAGATACAGTGCATGTAGTGTGCATATTTGTGTAACCATATGACTTCAGTTTGTGGTACTATGCACAAAAAGAAGAATAATTACTAGTCATAAAAAGTCAAACTAAATCAAGCATCAATAGTCAACTTTTCGAAAAATAATAAATAAATACTGATTTGCTTCAATTAAATTCAAAACAGATATTTTCTACCTATTCATATAAATCTAATAGTTTTTTTATATTTTTATGGTGATATTTTATTTAATTTTTACAAAATTATAATTTCACATGTCATCCCTTCTCCCTTTCTCCTCTCCCCCCCAACCCACCACCAGCCCTTCCCGCCTCCCCCTCCACTCCCCATGGAGGGTAGGGCCCTCTAATAGTTTTTAATGCATTTGAAATAAGTACTACAGCCAGCTAACTGACAATTATCAAAGTCAATTTCTTACTTTCTGTTTTTCTGGAATTCCATCTTTATAGTTACATTGTGAACTATATCTATGTAAAAAATGTCAATTATAAGCAAGGTGACCGTTCAGACAGCATTAAAGAAAATATGACAGTAAACACTGTAACTTGTACCTATGGACAAAGAACTACTGAACCTGTATGTGTGAGGACATGCAAACATATACCCAGAACACTCATATTCACACATGCAGCACTTCAAGCTAGGCTATGCAGAGTATGCAGAGAGATAAGAATCCGACATACTTCTCTGTAAAAGAAATTCTTGAAGGGCAATGCAAAAAATTGAAAGACTTACTGCGGAAGGATTGAAGAATGTTAATAATTCTTTCATCTGTTAATTTTCCTGATTTTGTCATCTGGCCACATTTGAGTTGATTTGAAGACTCTCTTGATTCAATCCAGCAAATCATCTCTTCATTATAAATAAAATCTAGAGTATGAATTTTATTTCTGTTGGCTGAGCTTAGAGTTGTCATTTTGCTTCCGTTAATGTAGAAGACCTCAATTGTTTCAGGACTTGCAATTAGTAACAATGGTGGCCTATCTGTAGGTTCTAGAAAAAATACAGAAAACATGTGTTAAGGAAGAGGTGATAGGTTTTGTCTTTTTTTTTCCCCAATGGTACATTATCAACTAAAAGTTGCTACTGTACTTGTAAAATATTATTGGAATAGAAAGAATGCTTGCATGAAAACCTTTTTAATAAGCTGCACATATGCCTCACTGCATGAGTCATTTCACTCTCTGGGGAAATGTATTTGTCTGAGCACTTGTTTCCATTATTCCCTAAGTCATAATGTGCACTCTTAATGTGAAAGCAATCCTGTTTACTTTCATCAATGGTAAATAGAAGAAGTGCTATGCTGTGAGTTTTGTTTTTGTTTTTAGCAACAACAATGTATCTGGATGACTCCATGATATAGTTTCTGAACTTCCCTTGTGAACAAGAGCATGAATTTGGAAAGTAAAAACAGAAATAGACTCTCTAGAGTAGAACACAGAAAACTCAGGCACCTAGCAATATGAATTTGTAACCTTGGCCTCTATGGTTCTATAATGACCAAAGAGCCAAACAATAAACTCTAGATGTAAAACAAACTTGATCAAAACCATCCTTTTATGCAAAACAGATTTTTTTAATCATAGGATTGATGAGCTTTTGATGGGAATATTGAAATTGTCCAGAGTTCTAATGACATTCAAAGGTGGTAATAGACTCCTCATGAAAACAAGTGTTCCCAGAGCTTAGTTTATGACCATACTAGTTTTGTTAGTTAAGTGGTAGAGAATTCAGAATTTATCATTTCAGTTCTTGTTATGAGCCCCAGGAAATGTATCACTAAATCTTTTTGGCTCTGATGTCAAACCTATAAGGAAGTGAATTCCCAGCTGCTATGAGCTATGGCCACCATGTCTGGTGTCAAGTTGCCAGCATCTCTCTCCTGACTAATTCCAGTGACCTTTCAGCTGTTTTCCCTCCTTCTATTGGTGCCTCCTCTTACTGTGTTCCATCATAGCAACCATAATTATACCAGCAAAACATAATGTAGATAATACACTTCTGTTTGATTTCCCCCAAAGCTCACACCACATAGAACAAAATCATGACCAGTAAAAGGTCTTGAGAGCTTTCCTTGATGTCTTGTCATTATATCTTTTCCCTCATGTCCCTAGTACTATTGTCCATTGTCTGCTTGTTGTAGAATGGTTGCACTCCATGGTGTTCCTTGCATAAGTAGGGAGACTGAATAACACAGACATTTTCCTTGAATACCATAGTCTTATACAATGGCTCCTTTCTTACCTCATTTTGGCCACTATTAAGAAGTAATATTTCAGACGAGTATTTCTGCTACTTCTTTTAAAATCCCAAGTCTCCTCCTTCTCCAGTGCTATTTATAAAATACTTCTTTCTTATCACCCCTGTAGCATACATGTTTTCCTACTTACTTATTTATATAACTCAGGTGTTCACTTTCTAGCATCTAGGAAGAAGACTGAATAACACGGTGTCCAGATAAACAAATATAATAGAGTTTTTACTACAGGATACTTTAGAAACATTCTTTGAATCTTAAGAAGAAACATATAGAACATATAAATACACCTTAGCCTATGAAATAATCCAGAAAGAGATTGAATATTCAAAAAAGCCACAAACACCAAGTGATCATTTTGAGCATTGTAAAGTAGAAAAAATAATAAAAAGCCTCTATCAAATGTTGATCCATGTAATTATATAAATCTAAACTTCCCATTAGTATTATTTAGTGGTTCTTGTTGTTTTTGATAAGGATAGGGAAAGATACTCCAGTTAGAAGAGCTCGCTCCTGAATCTTGTGTCCACTCTCACAATTTTAAAAAGGCCAATCCCAGAATTAAGTCCAATGTATTTCAAGAGTATTTACATCTTCCCCCCTTTTATTTGGGGGGGGGCTGTTTCGAGACAGGGTTTCTCTGTGGCTTTGGAGGATGTCCTGGAAGTCGCTCTTGTAGACCAGGCTGGTCTCGAACAGAGATCCACCTGCCTCTGCCTCCCAAGTGCTGGGATTAAAGGCGTGTGCTGCCATCATCTGGCAACATCCTTTCTCTTAAGGAATTACGTCAGAAAAGCCATAGGCTTAGTTTTGTATTTGAAAAGACTCTAAATTTTGGCAGGATGAAACAATATTTAAAAATTGTGAATAAAATGATGACAAAATGCCCAGTGACACTATAAAACTAAAGAGCCCAACATAGAGTACATGAACATAAGCTAACAGATAGGAAGCCTCAAAATGCCAAGATAATTTCTACAACAAAGAAATATCCAGGGAACGTAAGACAATTGTACAGTATCTCTGCTTAGTGTATCTTTGTCAACAGAACATATCTGAGCCTTATTAGCCATTGAGCTTGGGTGAAAATCTCTTAATTCTACAATGAGACTATGTTACACTTGCCCTAGACATTCAGAATCCACACATGGGTCTTTCTTTAATATTCTTAGATTGATCCTTTTCTATGTGACCTTGGAATCTGTGAAACATGTGAGGTTACAGATTTCTCAGTTTGGAGAGTCTGAGATGTCCTTCTTATCAGATTTGCAAAGATATGCTCAGAGTAATGTCAGTGCTCATTGTCTTCCTGTGACATTTGAAATGAACTTAGAAAATTTGCCTCACACTCCAAATGAGTTTCTATGGAAAGTTCCTTTGCTGCAAAGATTTATGCAAATCTTAGTTTTGACAGCCATTTCTTAGCTAGCTGGAAACATGATGGAATGCTAGACTCCTCTGAGATTTGTCAACATAACAATACTTCTTTGACATATACATTTAATTTTTGTAAATGATTTTAAATTAACCAGGTAATTAATTATTTTAATTAAAAATGCACACCCCAAATTTAAATCCTCCTTCAAAAATAACATAAAACACCAAAAAGACAGTGAAATGATGTATAATCTGACATAGTTTGAATAGCTTGGCCTAAAAATTACAAATGGCATATTGGAGGAAGGATACCTAGAGTGGTAATTATGAACTGATTCAAATATTTATATATTCTGCTATTTGCTGTTTCTTCTGACAGATAGATATAGTATCTGGTGTAATGAGAAAAGTCCCTGAAATATAGGAAAGTTGAATATCATTGGAATCGAAGGACTGATATCAGACTGATTTAATGACATAAGCCAGCACTGACGGTAAAGACTACTATGTGTGCCCATTTGCGATTTCCCTGATCTCCACAGCCAACTGAAGAGCTCCACTAATGAAGATGAAAAGCTACCCAGAATAATGCAATACCATTACTCGGTGTCATTCTTAGAGTCAATTGAAAGTTTTCTCCAAGGAGCAGTAGGAAAACACTTTTGATGAATTCCATCACAGAGATACCCAAATCAAAGTTTAGTGAGATGTAATAAACATTAACCTTTCACACAGAGAAGATTGAAACTCAAGAAAGCACCAGTTATCAACACTCCACCTTAGAGAAGGAAGCCAGATTGAATCATCCTCTTCACTGAGCTGTCAAACACATCCAAGAGAGTAATACCCCCAAAGTGAAAAGGAAATAGGGCTGGATTGGGACCTGGCTCAGGAGTAGGACAGTTTGAAAGCATTGCTGATAGTCTGAGTCTGACCTCCATCACTACCTCCTGCCCCACAAAAGTTAAAATATATAGTGACAGCCTTTCCTTTCTAAAATATAATGGTTGAATTAATCTTTCTCTCCCCTGCCTCAGTTTAATTCTTGTTCAAGGAATAATAATAAAGATGTATTACCATTCATTTATAAAATTAAAATTCCACACAAGGTAAGTAAAGAAAATCCAATAAAAGCAATATTAGGCTGAACAGGAAGCATTACATTGTCTACCTAAACTATACTTTGCTTTGTTTTTTTCTTTTTCTTTTACAATTATTCTGACATGATCTCTGTGCAAATATGCTTTGTGTTGTTAACTAATTTATTTAGTGTTTATAGATATTAAGTATTCAAAGACAACACAAGACATCAGTCCAACATTGAGCCTTTAAAAAAAGACCTAAACTGTTAGAGAGATTAAGGTATGTCCTCAAATATATGTTCTTTTATAATGAGGTTGATACTTTTCATGAGAGATATTCAGTTTCATGGATACTAAAAATGTTGATACTTTTTTTGAGACAGACTTTCTCTTTGTAACAGTCCTATCTGCCCTGGAACTCACCTTGTAAACCATACTGGCCCCGGATCTCACAGAGATCTGCCTGCCTCTACCTCCCAAGTGCTGAGATTAAAGGTGTGTGCCACCACTGCCTGACTATGTTTCTTTTTTTTTTAAGTACCCAAATATGAACCTGGTGGTGGTGGTGGTGCACACTTTTAATCCCAGCACTTGGGAGGCAGAGGCTGGTGGATCTACGTGATTTCAAGACCAGGCTGGTCTACAAGAGCTAGTTCCAGGATAGGCTTCAAAGTTACAGAGAGAAACACTGTCTCAAAAAAAAAATACCCAACTGTTTATGACATTTTATTTTATTCTTGGGTTAACTGAAATACAATAATTTCATATGCATGAATAAAGAAAAAGATTATTTTAGAAGAAATAGCTATAGAAAAGAGTAGATGAGTGAAGAACATATGTTGGAGATATAATCACTACAGTCTTTGGTTTTCTGAAGGCAACACATAATTGACTGACAGAAGAACTTCACAATGATAGATGGAAGAGCTGACACTAAAGAGGATATTTCAGGAGTCAGACAAGGTGTTACATGTACCTATTTTTTAGTGTCATGCATTTTAATGACTATCAGTTAGATTCTAATATTATCCACATTGTACATATTTGGAAATGAAAATGTTGAGATGTTGAGTAACTCACTTAAGACCATATAGCCAGTATATGAGGACTGGATTCAAAATCATGTAACTTTTTAGAAACCTATAAAATAACATTAAGAAAGTGTGAAAGTTATTAAATGTTAGGATGATAGACAGTTTTAATTTGAGATTCAGTGGGAAGCCAGTGTTAATTAGATGCAGGTTATAATGTGATCAAAACTGTGTTTTAATA